TATGTTAGAGGTTTGTGATCGGTCCATATAACAAAATCTCTACCTTCCACTGCGAAACGAAAATACTTGATACCAAGGTAAATGGCAAGCAGCTCACGGTCATAGGTGCTATACTTTTTCTGGGCGTTAGAAAGTTTCTTTGAAAAAAAACCAAGAGGCTGAGGTAGCCCATCATTAAGTTGATGTAGAACAGCACCCACAGCTATATCACTTGCATCGGTACACAAAACAATCTCCGCATTGAATTGGGGTCCTGTCCTTCTTTTTGTTGCCCTTAATTAGATTAATAAGAGGTTGTTGATGGTCAATAGCGCGTGGAATAAATCTTCTATAAAAGTTTATCATATTTAAAAATCTCTTCAGCTCCAGAGCAATTGTAGGAAGTGGATAATTTTTGATAGCTTCAATTTTCTGTGGACAAGGACGAATTCCTATTCTTTGAAGCATGAAGGATTCCAAACGCCGAAACCAGGATTTCACATTATTCACTTCATAGCCTTGCAATTTAGGAACTTGAACGCGAGTCGCAAAGCCGCTTGCTCGATGAGAAGAGTTCTGAGGATCTGCTTCAACAATGTTTCTTGCGTCGGCAAATTCATCCTCACAAACTTGATTCCTTAGAGCATTCTGCGCTCGTGCAGCGTTTCGGGTTACTGCAGGAGAGGTGAACATCACGTCGGGGTCACCAATAATTACACAATATATATTTGAGAAAAAGATGTTTCTCTTCAAGCTTCTGAACAAACTCTAATTTAATTTTCACAACTTGATGTTTAAAAGAACAGTTTCATTTGTTAAAATTATAAGTTACATAGCAAGTGGATAAGCAATAAGTAACGCGACATACAGTGCCGGACAAAAGTATTGGCACAGAGAATTTTTCGCTATATCTGAAAAGTTTTTTATTCTAATTTATTTTCGATAATTTTTTATAAATATGTGACCTGGTCTACGGAAAGGGGGCTTAGGTGTCAAAAAATCAATTTTCACTTTTTGGTTGATTCGGATGGAAGATGAGATGCTTTTTCACGTGGTGAAAAGCAGAAAATCCTAACTTGCTTAGAAGTGTACTAAAATTTTTTTTTAAATTTTAAATTTTTAAAAGTCTCACACTAGCAACTTACACGATGAACTATAATAATATTCCGACCAACAACAACACTTACTGGACCAACAACAACACTTACTGGACGTCCGGCGCGGAGAACAATTAACGAGATAATGAGAAACTGACGAAACGAGTTTTTTCACAGAAAACTAGTTTTCGCACGTATGCTCCCTTTTCGTAGACCAGATCACATATATAGTTCGTCCTACACCAAAAAACATAAAAACTAAATCTCTGAATTTTGTGCAAAACTCAGGAAAATTCAATAAATTTGCATACTTATGTGCAACTTTTAGGTCTGGCAAACTGCTGCAGCTACCCACAATCCTGATGGGGGCGTCGTCGTTCATTGCACGTATTGTCGAATCGTCTCATCTGCTCAGCTAAGTGTATTCATCTTCTTCGATCTTTCGACAAGCTTGAATACGTTAAAGTCACCCACTACCATAGGGTTTTCAACTCTGAGACAGGTGGTATTTAAACCTTAAATATTTCTTGCTTGACATGGGTCCGGCCTGTGGGCGATGTCTGTTTCGATAAAACAATACTCTAAGGTGTAATGAACGCTAGCGGAGGACCAATATCTCGCTCGCGATCGCCACGCTGCACATTATAACCGACGGATTTCAACAGTGTCTAGATGCTGTGCAGCTTCCTATCTTAAGCTAGGATCCCGCTATCGGCGCAAATAGCACAATATGTTCCGATTTTCATTGTGCTTGATTGGTACATACATATTTAAAAAATTTGCAAAACTACTTTTTGAGTGGTCCCATTATCATCGCATATTGTGACAATCTTTTTCGGAGCATATGGGCCAAATTTAATATGCGACGATATTCGGTACAACATGATCGCATTATCGTGCTTGATTAATAATAACAATCAACAAATTTTCGACTTTGATGGAGGCATGAGCGCCCAATAAAAAAATATCTGCATTTTTTTACTTTTTTTCTTGTCCTACAATGACCAAAAGAGTATTCACATCATCGGTACAGCAATATTGGTTTTGGTTGCTTATAATAATAATAGATTGGTGCTTACACAATACGTTAGTGTTTGACCGAGCTTCTACTCCCATTTGTGGCGTGCGCATGGATGTAGTCATACAAAAGGAGGGACCTACAGTTTTACGCCGACTCCGAACGGCGATTGTTTTTTTTATGAGAAGCTGTTTTTCATGGCAGAAAAAAAAACATTTTTCTATATTTTTTCGCGATGTTGCTTTGACCAGGGCTTGAGGAGTAGTAGGTCATTGGTGATTAATCTTAAGACTTTTGTTCAAAGCAGAATTTCAAAAGTACTATCAATGAATTGGCAACCGCTTACAAAAGATTTCTTCTTTGGAAATTTTAATTTGGAAAGAAGCGATAGTTTAATAAATAAATATCGAAAACCCACAATGCAATTATCATTTTGTAGCACTTACGTAAGCTTGCACCGCCAGCAAAGTTGTATCTTCCTCCTTTACGCATACATTTCTGCGAGGCTCTGTATACTTTAACGATATCAATGCACGTTGCGAAGGTAGAGAAATCCACGATGTTGCCTTAAATCCCAATGACTCACATCCAGGGAGTGTTTGGACATTTCTTAATAGGAAACTTGTGTCAAAAAGGGTCAGTCGTAATCTACTGATTAAATCTGGTAGTTTATGTTTCCGCCCAGAAGCATCGTACTCATACCACTGCTTCACAGCATAAAAAACATCTTCTTCACAAGTCACATTCAAATTATGGCTTTCTATTATTGCCTGCAATTTTTCAGCATCAAAGCTAAGAAACTCACGGTGTTTTGAAATATGTAGGTACATGAGGGCGGATCATTCTTTGTTTACCATGCGCGTATAGCATAAGAGGAATCTACGTGTAATTCCAAGCTAACTTGCCGAGTCTAAAATCAATTCGGAGTTTGCCAAATGGAATGGTTGTTATTTTTTTTATAAAAGTCTAGCTAGCTACATAAGGAACACCATATATACCGCCAAAATACTATTATTGGGTATTATTATTAAGCTTGTGGAATATACAGTATCGGTCATATCTATAGCACGCCGTTTCGAAGTGATATTGTGTGCAACTTATGTTTATTTGTTTATTTTTGAGAATTTTCAATTAAAATACAGTTCTTTATCTAACAAACCCCATATAAACTCAAGTTTAACAATTTGTAGAAAACTTCAAAAAAGTGCAACAAATTTTCACCTAAGTTTCAAACATTTTTCTCGGAAGTGTTAGAATTTTTTTGAGTACACAGTTTTTTAGCCCCTACAATTTTAGTCTGATAATGTGCAAGTTTCAAGTGACTGAAAGTTACCGTTGATTTTTTAGAATTTTTTTCGCCAAAGGTGTTGCGGTTTTCATCCATATACAAATAAATTGAGTTTATTCATTATATGGAAGCCAATGCGACAAAAAAAAATTCTAAAAAATTAACGGTAATTCGCTACTTGAAATTTGCACATTATCAGACTAAAATTGCAGGGGCTAAAAAACTGTGTACTCAAAAAAATTCTAACACTTCCGAGAAAAAAGTTTGAAACTTAGGTGAAAATTTGTTGCACTTTTTTGAAGTATTCTACAAATTGTAAAACTTGGGTTTATATGGGGTTTGTTAGAGAAAGAACTGTATTTTAATTGAAAATTCTTAAAAATAAATAAATAAACATAAGTTGCACACAATATCACTTTGAAATGGCGTGCTATAGATATGACCGATACTGTATGTACATATGAATAATACGAAGCTGCGGAAAAGCAATATGACTCACCTCCATAAAATTATTTATATCATATTCCAAGAGTTTCTCATACAGTGGTACACACTGAGTTTCACGCTCTAAGCTATATGCCCGCTGCAGTGTATAGTCAGTTATATGTTCCAAAATATAGTCAACACAATTGACCACCGCGTCATCCAACTTCAAATACAGTGCTGCCTTCAGCATTGCGTCCACATTATCGATGGTTACGAGCGTTTGGCCGGTGTAGCAAAATGTTATTAAACGCTCAAAGGTGTCACTGTCTATGTCATTTAATTCGATAACAGGAGTGTTTACGCGGGGGTTTGGTAGATAACTCACGCTCTGGTGTCCCAGAGCCTTTATTTATAACAAAAACTCTTAACCTACACATACACAATTCTTACCCTAACCATAGTATATCTAAAACATGTGTGTTGCACTACACATGTAGTAGGTATGTATAACTTATCTAGAAAAACACTTAAACCGACAGTGCCAGGAAGTAATAAAAATAGTATACGGTTTCACTTGCATTTTAAGCCAATCGCATTTCATAACATTTAAGAAATGCATACGTGACTATTCCCATACACCCTGGCACTGAATTGTAATGTCTATAATTGCCAACTAAACAACCCTTAGGTCATGTTGTGCGCATGTGCACTATGTATGTATGTGTACAATGCCGTTGCACGTGCGCACAATTGCTACTTTCTATTGTTCTACTTATCGGCCTTACAATCGTTACCACATGCTGAGGACATGCGCATCCTAAATGTGTGCCCTATGAGTGTGCGTAACTAATCTTAAGACTTGTGCAACAAGACTTAACAAGGAGTTAGGCCCTTGTCGCTTTTGAATAAATCTTTAAAATATGGACTTGCCGCTGATAATATTAAGCGATGTGCTGGAACCCTGTGAGAATTGTAATTAATTATTATATGAAATTGTTAAATGCATAAATAAATCAGTGGTAAACTTACATAGCAGTCGGATTAGACAACTTAAATGTTACATCTATGAGGTCCTGCTCATCGTAGAAGTCGCATATATTGTTCAGCAGTTTCTTGATGAAATGATTGAGGTCTTGGCCATTCACATCTAGAAGTAGTTGACGTGTGCCATTTGTTGCCATTGCTACTGGTGTTGAAATTACTTCCTTTGATTTTTTGTTTGTTTGTTTGTTTGTGGTCTGCTAGAGCGACCAGTATTTTCCTGTTGGTCAGTGTATTGAAGATTCCAAATATGGAGTATGTATTTATGTATGTACGTATATTCATGAGCCAAAAATGTCTTTCGTTCATGTGTATATTTGCGGATACCTAAATGTCCCAA